GCGACAAATTGGTGTAGCACCCTCGCTCCAACCCAGGTCGATGGAGTCTGGCGAAGCCACAGCCGTGACAGTTGACGCCCAAGACCATGTAGGCGCCAAATATTGTGTGGGTCTTGGAAGCACGTCTGGTCTGTCGACTACCCCGCTTACAGAGAACCATAATAGCGCTCCCGGGAACTCACACTCCCATAACCCGGCTAGATATTTACCCATTCCTGGAAGTGCGATCTCTCTCGCGATACCAGATATGCCGGGAAGTCGATCTGTCCCGAACGTCAGTGCCCGCTGGGAGTACTCTTTGACGGACTTATTCCATGACCTTGCACGTGTTTCCGGATCTGTCGATGCTATTGCAGCGGCATGAGAGAGCTTGACCGTTTCCGGTTCCTCGTCCCAAAAACCAGTGGAATATTTGATGGTCTGACATTCACACCAAAGTTCTTCGCGACACTCCCACATTATCTCGCATTCAGTGTAGTGGAGTATCCTGGAAGCAAGCATTCGCTCTTGGAAACACCACGCACGGTCCAAAAGTGGCATCCCAATATTCGAACGATGCGATAAGACGAGTGTGCCGTGATATATCCGTCGTTGTACGTGGAAGCTACCGTCGATCGGTCCTGCTAAGTCATGGCTTGGTTCCCTCGGACGCAGACACCCCTCATCGCCGTTCTTGGAGCTTGTCGCAGCGATGACCAAGTATGCGTACTTGTACACCGCTGCCATTCGGGAAGCCTCTTTAGCCCAATCCTCATGGTCATCCTGGAGAATGCATAGTGAGTCGATCCAGACATATGGGATGCCGATGTTCCTGGTAATCGTAATAGCATCCTGAAACGTTCGCGTGAGCTCATTCCAAGATATGCCGAGCAGCCGAGCAGACAAATTCTTTGTCAAAAGCAGAGGCATGGCTTTCACACGTTGTTCTTTTACCCCCCATGCGTGGCTCAAGGCAATGTAGCGGGCGTCAGCTGGCATCCCACTCGAGCTGCACAGCTTGATGTCATCTGAGGATGAACCGACCGAGATGAGCCTCGTTGGCGTCGTTGACATTTCTGTCCTAGGAGAGCATTGTGGATGCAGAGCGTTACACTTCCTAATCCACTCTCTGATTGTGTCAAAGCATGCCTGAGAGGCAGGGTCAGCCGGAATGTGACCTGCTGGCTTAATGTCCGAAAAGTAAGGGAGCTCATCTGAGAATGGTAAGTGAATGAAACAGGTGCCGTATCTCCTGTGATATATCAAACGAACCCGGATGATTGTAGAAATACAAATCCATTGGCAGAATTCCTGATTTAGGTTCGTTGCGAAAGTATATGGTCACACGTAGAGGTGTGTAGGGATCGTTGCGGACGTCAACCACGAGACTCCGATGGGGCTCGTACTCGCTCAGAGTGGCTTCGGTACTTCGATGACGACGGTCAGGAGGAAACGTGTACTTCTCGATTCCTCGAAGAAGTAGCTTGCATCGAACGCAGCCATCGCGTGCAGCCTCGCGCATGCTCGACAGGTGGGCAGTCCCCTCATGATTGCCGCCTAGACTCCAGCTGCAAGTGTCGGTGTCAGTCTGCTCTGACCACGAGGGCGCGTGAGGTAGCGTCGGGTTCATCTCGTGGTTGCGATGCGGGTGAATCTGTGAGACGTGGTGGGGTCTATGCGCCTGCTGTTCAGAACACGGGAGGCGCGACTAGGCATCAGGCATAGCCAATCTACATGCAGCAAAGAAGAGTAAGCAAGTGATCCTCTTTCCATAACTCCCACCAATCACCGCCTCACATCATGCAGCGTGTTAGAGCATTTTATACCTCATGTCTCGTGGATACGTTGCGCTTTCGTGTTTGGCAGGCAAGAGCTACCCTGTACCCTGGCGCTATACACTGTCTTGCGTTCACTCACTGCATCGACGCCAGACTCTACGAATGCCTCCTGGGTCGATGATGAACCCCAGCTTCTATACGATAGAGGCCTTTGTATGCGTCAAGAGCGATGGCTTGATGTACCCGTGGACTTCAGGTGTGTGTTGGGTACGCTACGTCATGCATGATTGCGTCATCGCCTAAGAACCCACAAACCCCGAGGCAGGGCTATCCTGCGTCCCTTCTCTACACCACGCCTTACAAATCGCATGAGAACTATCTTATCACTCCTTCTATCATGCGCCTCTAGATGATACTAGGTATCAGTTGTACCAAACGCAGTTGGGCACCTCTTCTCTAACAAGCACGAAGCTGCTCAAACTCCGTCTTACCCTCGTAAGGCTGCAAACAGTTATCTGCTAACGATTCATGCGTCCTCTCAACCACCCCCAGATTTGAATGCGACACGGCTCTTCCCACACTTGTTGGCTTCACTGGTGTGCATGAGATTACCGTGTATTAGGATCAGTGTACCCGCTTCTACCTCGAGTTGTTTATACACCAGATTCCCTTCCTCATCTTTCTTTGAAGCCGCGGCGTTGGCCGACAATTCCTCAACGCTAGCATATACTAGCTTTGCCAGATCAGCGAACTCGGGTAAGCCGTTCCTACCCACACGACACCTCTATGTAAGAGGCTGCGTTATATGACTACCTGAGGCGACAACCAGGCATCCGTTGTCTATGGTCGCATCTCCGAAAGCGTACCAGAACGTTGTGCAGCTTCGCGGATCGGTGAAGCCTGAACAGCCGTCTTGATGTCTGAAATGCACGCAAGGTCTTGTACATCTTCATGGAACAGCTTCATCCATCTCCATCTGCGTGGCATCTAGTCATACCTCACACGTACCCCACAATCTCAGTCCGAACACCCTACACCTTCCCTCAACCCTCCTATCCCAAAGCATCATCCCTCTCAATACCATCACCACCTCAAACCGACAAAATCCTATGCTCCCCCATCTCCTCATCTAACAACCCCTTGATCTTCTCATGATACTTATCAATCCCACTCGGCCTGCTCATCGCTACCCAAAGATCCTCCGGCACATCCACCCCCTTCTCAAGCTCACACGTCAAATTGCGGGTAAACAACGTTAACCCACACCCAGCTTCCACAAACGTATACGTGATCCAACAGTACCCCTTCACCCCACCGCTTCCATCCTCCCCCGCAGCAATATTATTGACCTGGCGAAAGGCGAATTTGCGACCGCGGTCCGCGATTTCAAGGACCCATTGTGGGTGGTACGTGTTGTTCGGCAAAGCGACTTTTTCGGTCCAGACGTCGCCGACCTTGAGGGGGAGAGACAGGTTTTGGCCTGGGGGCAGCCCGGAGCTGCCGGCGTAGGTGCGGCCCCAGTTTGAGGGGTTGGAGACGAAGTCGTAGATTATTTCGGGGGGGTAGTTGAAGATTGTTGAGGAGGTACAGGTCATGACGCCCATGGTGAGGTGTTGTGAGGACTTCGAGAAGTGATGGGTTTGGGTTGATGATAATAGTGTAGGGATGTGGAAGTCAGTGGCTGTGAATAGAAGAAGTGGAAGAGCGATAGCAGAACTTAGTATGGGAAGTTAAGCATCTCAAGTATGGTATTATGAAGGCACCTCTCCGGGCTATCATGATTGGAACGCAGGTGTACGGGCTATTCGACGCACGCCGATCCGCTGACGTATGTCACGATGACTGATCCCCGCAGTCGAGCTCGAGCTACTGGTAGGGTAGACTTGCTTTTGCGCTGCTCAGGAACTACGACCGAACAGGCGGGGCGAGCTCCGCACGCCGATCGTTTCTAGCCTATCGGTCTTTTGCCATGAGCATCGTCTCCGACCGTTGATTAGTTCATACGCGCAAAGCCTAGACTCGCGCGTTGAAGTGAGAGGTAAGTGTCTGGAACTGAAGTAAGTTCTTTACTTCTCGAGGGTACTTCGTAACCAGAATAGTTTGCATTGCGATGGTATCATGTCTATGCCTCCTTGATCAACTTGCGCGTCGCACTCTCCATCCAAAGTTTGGTGTACAATCTGTGCAGCCACTGGATATGCCCTGGTTGCGGTCCAGCGTCCTTGCCCTCTGGCGTCGTATCCACAAAGACCGACTTCAAGTGGAAAGTAGCCATCTGCGCAGCATCGTCTTTCGAGACCTCCATAGAGAAGAGGCCATCCGAGGGTCGGGGCTCAGAAACGTGTGGTGAGTCGCCGCATCGCACAATAACCTATGAAAAATCTTGGGTCAGCTAGCAATCTTTCCAATGCAAGGTACGATCTCACCTTATCATCCTTATGCTCCACAACCTCAAAGTGATCCACAATCTTCGTCCCAACCCCATACTCGCTCTTCGCCAATTCCTTCACATCCCAAAGATGGCTATCCCTACCCTCCACATTCCGATACCACTTCTCCAACAACCGTCTCTGCACCCTAAACGCCACACCACTCCAAATGCCCCTACAAAAGTCCGTTGTCAAAGCCGGCTGATCAACCGATATCCTACCTCCATCGCCCTTGACCCAGTACTTCTCCGGCAGCTTCCCATACGGAATCGTCTTTATCGCATGGTCGATGCAGCCGGGCGGGTTGCCGCTGGGGTTGTGCGCGCGGAAGACGGAGGTGGTGAGGTCGGGGGAGGAGGCGTCGTAAGGCACGAATTTTGTGTTGCGCGTGTAGAAGGAGGAGACGCTGTAGGCGAGGAGGACGTTGGCGGAGAGGCCGCCGGTTATGCCGACGAGGACGCCGAGGAAGCGCTTCGGGCCTGAGATGCGTTTCATTGTTGGGGGCTTGGAGATTGTGTTCATTGTGGCGGTGGGAGGGGGTTGAGACCGCGGTGGAGGAATTGGGGGGAGAGCGCCCTGGGTGGAGTGGAAGGAGAGGGACGGCGCTCGCAGCGGGATTGTCGCGTGGGGTGGTCGGAATGTTTTGGTGTTGAGGAGCTTGGACCTTCGGTGGGTTTTGGATGCCGAGGGTCCACGGGTGCGTCGGCGAATGCTCTTCGCTCAGACACCGACATCACCAACTCATCACTGCAGGCGCCTCGAATTCATCTTCACGATTACATTACTGATGCTAACAACAAGGCTATATTTACGTTCAGTGCAGGTGCGCAAGTGCGATACCAGAGTACGCGCTGTCCGTCTCGTATATCTTCTTCTTCCTCCCGCCGTCCATGTCGAACCTGTACACGGTACCACCAAGGTCAGTCAAGTAGACATGGCGGTTCACCGCGTCAATCTTCAATCCAATCGGCTCGTGGAAATGTCTCGCTAGCGTTACAACACCTTGTTCCTCCTTCGTCTCGGCACCTACATACGCCTTGTTCAGCGTGTTGCCGAGTGGGTACTCGCCGCGATCGGTCCAGTACAGCGTTTGGCTCTCAGCTTCGAATTCCAGATCGATGGGTTCAGGCAGGTGGTCGTGGAGCAGTTCGATGTCGGAGCGGGAGGATGCTGTCTCGTTGGCAGGCATCTGCATGTTTGCGCGGAAGATGCGGCCTTTGCCGCCCTTCGACGGGCCCTTCTGAGACCAGTAAAACTTTCCGCCCTGAGGATCGACCGCGATACCAACACACCAGTTTGTCTGGTCTTCTCCTTCCGCTGAGCTGGAGTCGCCAGTCTGCACGATGATCTCGTGGTTGCTGCCGTCAAAGTCACATCGATGGACGCGCAGGCCTTCCCTGTCGCAAATGTACAGCTTCTTGTTCTCGTGGTCGATCTTAAGCTGCTTCGGTGTGTGGATCTGGCCTTCTGGGATGATAGCTTGGACGTCGGTGCCATCGAGGTTCGCGGACATGACACTGCCGTTGTTCTTCGCGGGAGACGCGCCCATGTTTGTCCAGAAGATGCGACCAGCTGAAATGGACACGTCGATACCGTCTGGCATGGCTTGGCCACCCACAATCTCGCGCACATTGCTTCCGTCCGCTGAAGCTGTCATGATCTTGCCGGAGGTAGCCATCTTCTGCAAGTCGGTAACATTGCCCCCAATGCCAATGTCGAGGAAGTACAGTCTGGGCGCCGCGAGGTTGTCGTGATGGCCGCTCTCGTCTTTGGAGCTGCGCGTCGTCTCACCAGCGGGATACAGACCGCCTTTGCCAGACTTCGCGCCGAGCTTGCCCTTCTCGACAAAGTTCTTCTGGAGCCAGTCCCGCGCTGTGGGATCGCCGCCGCGTTCTTCAACATAATTGTTCTCGATGAACGCAACCGTGTCTAATCCGACCGCATCCATCATTCCACAAGGTCCAACCGGGTTATCCTTGAACATCGTCAAAAAAAGCCTGTCGATCTCCTCCGGCTCCGAAACGCCCTCCGCCATGATGAGCAGACTCTCCCTCTTAATGGCAGCCCATAACCGGTTGAAGATGAAACCGGTCGACTCCTTCCGCGCGATGGCTGGTGTCATGCCCGCGTCCTGAAGTTTGCTTTGCAGAAACGGCAGAATGTCTGCATGCGTCTCACCGCACGTCATGAGCTCGACAACGTTGTTACCAGGAGGCATGTAGTAATGCATATTGCAAACGCGATGCCGACTACCCGCGTCCACCTTATCGAGCATGAACCGCGACTTGTACGACGAAGAGTTGGAAGCTAAGATACAATCCTTCGGTGCTTGGTGTTGAAGCTGGCCCATGATATCGATCTTCAACGGAAGCTTCTCTGGTAATGCTTCAACCACCAACCACGCGTTCTTGACTGCCTCTGCAATGTCTTTGACAGTCTTGAATTGCGTTGGTTTCCGTGCGTTTCCAGTAAGTTTCGAGAATTCGTCCATGTGGTGTTCGATGTAGTGTGTCGCGGCATTCCTCTGCTCGTCACTGAGATCGCACAACACGACCTCATAGCCAGCGGCGACCCATGAGGCGGCGATTCGTCGACCGAGGACTCCTCCGCCTAGAACGGCGACTGGTCGAGATGATGTGTCTGGTGCCGTCCATTGCGGTTGTGTGCTGCTGGATGCAGCTCGTGTTTGCGTGTTCGACATGATTGAGTATGACAAAGGTGTTGATCGAGTGCGGAAAGCTGTGTCGAGACTCCTCACTCTTGGCTCCAGTGTAGTTATACGCGTGCTCAAACACCGCGTCGTCGCATAGCCCGCAGAGGGCTCGGCCGAGACCCGCCGAACGCCTCTTGATAATCGTCTTGCGCAAAGAGACATTTTTCGTTATTGTAGTGATGTGTTAGTTCAGACGGCAACTGCTGCTGCTGGGCTATCGCTGATACCGCGACTTTCTCAAGCGCATCTAGATGCATGTTGTATACCATTGGTTGGCGCTAATGCGGCCTAGAAGCATGGTGGTGTTGCGTCACTGCCCAACAGCTCGGTAGACATCCGTGCAGTGCCGCTCCGGTGGCGACGTCATTCGTACGGTGCTTTTTGTGTCGTGCGAGATGGGCGTTGGGGCGTGCGAGACGTTGGGCGGTGGTATGTCGGCCGAACTTCATGCATGCTGCGCGAACTTGAGTTGTTGTTGCATGTGCGACTATGACGATTGTCGGGATGCGCGCGCAGAAGTTGGGAAGTGAAGGGGTGGTTGATGGTAGAGTTTATTTTGGAACGTTGACATTTGCGATGGATTATGGAAGATGAATTTTGTAGAAGTGCCGATCACCACTCACTCTATCCTAACCACTCCGACAATACCGCTGCGATAACCGTCCCCCAACCCCCAACTCCAGAGCAGACTTCACAGAATAATCACTGGAACGTGAAGATCTCATCCTGAGGCTTCGAGATTTTGCCTAAGCTTCCGTTAGCAGTATTCCATTTCATGTCATCAGATAGTCTCAACATACCAGGTGCCTTAAACCCCCGTTCCTGCAAATACCCAACCATACTCTCCATCATCGGATCCGGCCCACAAACAAGAACCTTGCTATCCATACCCGCCGGCGCAGGCAAACGCTTCTCAATCATCTCCTTGCTGATACGCCCCTTGTCGCCCTTCCAGCTCTCCGAAGGGCTGCTCAAAACGTAGTGCACATTAAACTGCTCGTACTGCGCCGCAAACCTGTCGAGTTCATCTTTGAGCAAGATGTCGCCTTCGGTCTTATTGGCATACAGCAGCGTCGTCTTGGTATCGTCGCGCGGGTCTTCGCAGATACGGCGGATGATCTGGAACATGGGTGTGATGCCCGTGCCGCCGGCGATCATACCGAGTTCTTTGACGAGGTTCTTGTGGTACTTCATCTCGCCTTTTGGTCCACGGATCTCAACCGTATCGCCGACATTCAGCTTGCTCAACCAGGGTGTCAGTTTACCGCCTTCGTAGATCTTAACAGTCAGTTCCAGCCTTCCGCGGTCCTTGTTACTGGACGTAGGCGTGTAGGAGCGCGCAAGTTGCTTCCCGTCGACTTCATGTCTGATGGCGATGTGTTGGCCCGTCGGCAGCCCCAACACGGAGTTCTCATTCGGAAGACCAAAGACGAAGCGGATGGTGTCGTGGGAGATGTGAAACTTGTCGATTAGAGGGAAGGGCTGGTAGACGCGGGCGTTTAGCACACCGAGGTTGATATCCTTTTTCTTGGTCGGTTTCGACGACATGGATTTCGCTTTGATGTGCGCGGGGTAGGATTGGAAGTCTTTGTGCGCAACGTCGAAGCTCTTGGTTGCCCAGAGGCTGGCGTAGCCGGCTAGGGCCATACTCGCGATGGAAGACACGGCGAAGCCCTTCCAGAAACCGGCGCTTTGGAGACGGTGCAGGAGCGGCGAGAAGCGTCGGCCTGCGACTATGGACAGCACGACAGATGTCAATCCAAAGCCAATAGCACCTAGATGCAACCGCCACGATTTCGGCGGGGGCAGGTTGTTGACAACATGCACTCTACTCGGCGTGATCGTGGGCATCTTTGCGGCTTCATGGTCGGTCCAGTCTTCGTCTGCGATGCGCCCGATGCGGAAGTTCTCGAGGATCTCGCGCGCGTCTGTGGAATGGCCGATGTCTTCGTAGGCGGTTGTGGCGTCTGTGCCGGCGTTTTCGAGTAGGAACTCTTTACCGCCTGGGTGGTCTTCTTGGTAGTCCGTCACATTGTAGACGTGGTTCCAGAGGGTGACCCATAGATCGGTTTTGCTGGTGTGCTGGGATACCTCGCGGAGAGTGTATACGCCGTCGGCCATGGTGTCTTGTTGTTTCGTTGTTTCCGCGCTCGTCTCGTGATGATCCGGTTGCAATGACTGGAGGGATCGAAAGAGAGGGATGCGTTCAGTCTGTCACTAAAGGGGCGCCAGGGAGTAGAATGGCATCGATGAAGGCCTGTGGCCAAGACCCTTCATCGTCGCAATAGCCCCATGCAACAAATGCGCAACGGGCATACCGATCCACTACGCATGCGCCGCGCCCGAGATCTCGGACATTCGCAGCACCAGGATGCAGCAAGATCGCTGCGCGTAAGGCTTGGAAGAAGGCCACTCGCATGGTGGCACCTCCGATTGTCAGCGGAGGCTTGATTGGATCAAGCCTCGCTGTGCCGAGGTAAGTGGGGGCTTGGCTCCACTAACACCGGACACCTCGTGGTAGCCGCTCTGCGATAGCGCTGTCATTTGTCATGGCGCAACAACAAAACTGTTACCTCGAGCGAAATTTCGATCAACGCTTCGGCCGGGCTGGCTCGCTGGCTCGCACGACCTGCAGTGTTTTTTGCTTTATTTTGGCGGCGCATTGAAGGGTGCATTGGGCTCTTCGGCGCTTTTTCGTACGATGAAGCCTGCGCCGGAGGATGGCCAGTGGCGATGCGTCATTTCTACGGACTAGACGAGACCTGCAGGTGGTGGGTTGTGGATGGATACGTAGTTTGGTGTGTTTTCATTTAGTCGCGTTATAGTCCTGTCAAGATTGCGACGCTCAACCGTTATCCCATACTTTGTCTCTAAGCATCATGACTATCAAGGGCTTTTACCTCGTTGGGCAGGACAAGAATGTCTTTCGCCAAGATATTCACATTGATCAGTATCATGACTTTGAGGCGCTGCAGGTTGCTGTAGCGGAGCAGTACAATATTATCCAGTCGACTGGTATGTGAGATGATTGTTTTGGTGAGGGCATGGACTTACGATTTGCAGGTATTGGTCTGCAAGATGCCAAGGGAGAGGACCTCCACGATTTGGACGATGTATTGGATTGCGATGAGGATATAGGCATTACGGTCGACGGACAGGCCATTCGCGACCCATCAGGCCCAGAGGGTCTTCCTTTCGTGGGAAGCTACTACGAGGTCTTTCCCGATCATCTCGTGAGTTCAACTTGACAGGCGCGCGAACTACCACTAACCAGCTCAGGGAAACCATGCGCGTCTTTTCCAGAAGTACGGGTCTTTGATCAAGTACGAGACGATGGGCAAGCAGAATTACCTGACCAATGACCCTGCTATCGCGACTGTGGCTTTCCAGGAGTCGGCGTTCTTCAGCAAACACATCACCCCCGAGCATCCTTTGGCGGGCATCAAGGATAACAGAGCGCTCTTCATTTGCGACACCGATACTGATGCGTGGAGGCAAGCGCACAAGTTCATCCCGCCATCCATGGCACCCAAGGCTATCAGACACTACACACCTCTCATGGAAGCCTCGGTAAAAGACTCGTTCAAGGTCTTTGACCAGCTCGATGAGCAGGGCGAAGCCTGGAACGTCTACCAGTACATGCTGAAGCTCGCCTCTCAGACCGTCTTCAAGTTTGCGCTCGGATACGACGCCCACCACTTCGACAACCCAGACGCTCCGCTGAGCGAGCTAGTCATTTTGATCGCCCAATCACTCTCCCTGAACAAGAAGGTCGCGTCAAGAGGTGCCTGGTACGCCAAGCTCAGCGCCATCCCCTTCACAGCAGCCTACGACCTCGACAAGATCCGCTACAGACTCTGGACCATCCTCAACCAAGCAATCGACCAAGCACCCAAAGGCAGCAACGAAGACGACCTACCCCTCCAGTCCGCAGCCCTAGGAGCCAGCTGCGTAGTCGACTACCTCAAGCGCGCCACCGACGACAACGGCAACAAACTCCCCCGCGAGCTCGTCATCCCAAACATGCTTCCCATCTCCGGCGCAGGCTTCACAACGACCTCCTCCCTCCTCTCCTGGCTCCTCTACTCCCTCTGCGTCTACGAAGGCAACCAAGACCGCCTCCTCCAAGAACTCGTCGACGCCGGCGTGAACGAGAACACAAAGTGGACGCCTGAACTCTCCGACGGCCTCACCTTCCTCGACAAATTCGTCAAGGAGACGCAGCGTTTGCACAACCCTTCTTTCCAACCTGGACGCACCGCCAAGGTCGATTGTATCGTCCCCGGCGGCTACAAGCTGCCCGCCGGCTCCGTCGTCATCTGCGCTCTCCACGCCATCCACAACAACCCGTCCATCTGGTCGAACCCCGACCGATTCGACCCCGACCGCTGGGGCACAGAGGAGGTTTCCAACCGCCCCAAGAACTCGTACATGCCTTTTGCGACCGGCCCGCGTAGTTGTATTGGTTTCAACTTTGCGCTTGGAGAGGTTAAAGTGCTGCTTCCGGAGTTGGTGTATAGGTACGAGTTTAGTAAGGAAGGTGAGGAGGCGGTGACGTATGACCCTGAGTTCCAGCTTATTAGGCCGATGAACTTTTATGTTAGGGCGAGGAGGAGGACGAGTTGGCCCGAGCCGTCGAAGGGGGCGAAGAAGATTGCTGTGGAGTATGCGGAGGGGGAGGAGAAGCCGCCGATTTAGGGGTGGGATCTGTTGCGTATGTCTTGAGCCACCTACAATGTTTCTTAATCCAGTTCACTACTTGCTATCCACCCGATGCACATTTGAATACATCAATGGACGTTATAATATATTCGCTCAGCCTAGCACGTCCGTCCAACCAGGCTTGAACGTGGAAGCGTTGTCAAATCCAGTGGTAACACTGTAGAGAAATAGGGTAAGCCCCAAATTGACAAGAATGAACGTCCCTGTTGCGAATCCATCGAGTGTGCCGTACACGCCGCATACGTAGCGGACATACGTCGCAAGGGAGCTTGCAAATATAGCGTCGTACACAGCGTGCAACATTATCAAAACGCACGCCGGCGTCAGGATAAAAGCAGGGCATATGAAACCTGCAAACAGGCTCCAACGGAAGGTATCTATCAAGGCTGAAAACCGCCAGTAGACCCAGGAGATGACCACAAAGATGCCTGGAAAGACGA